GTCCTCCGCACCTCCCGCCCCTCCGCAAGCCCCCTCCTCCCCTCTCCGCAGTTGCCTCAGCCGACAGCGCCCCCCGCCCTCGTCCACGTCTGCAAGGCCCCGGCCCCGCCCTTTCTGCAACATGGATACCCCACCCCCAAATCCAACAGGGTTACCATCCATGGATTTCCTGCTCCCGAACCTTACCAGGTCTTTCCCCTTCCCAAACCAGCGCTAACCGGATCCTAGCCCACCCTCTCTTCAGAGCCTTGTCCTTTCGCCGCTTAAAAAGGATTCTGTCGCTCCTTTCTTGGTCTCGACCCATCCTTCCTATAGCCCAAAAGGGGTCCGGCCCCTTTTCTTCAGCTGGATCCGGGTTCCGCTGTCTCTTACCTCCTTCCTAAACTCGGTCCTCCTCCCTTCTTGCCAGAATGATTTCTCGACCTTTCCTTTCTACAATCCCAGCCCGATCAGCATCCCTTCTTCCGAACCGAGTCCAGACCATCCCGCAGCCTAGAGGAAATTTCGACGCCCCCCTCCACCCGCGGTGAGAATCAGGTCCAGGTACCTCTAAACCAAGCAGGTCAAAGCAGCTAGATCCCGAATTCCCTACAGGTTTTCTTCAAACCTTAAGGGCATTTGACACTAGTTACCCGAAGCCGAAGCCTGGAAGCCCCCAAAGGGTCTTCACCAAAGCTGGAAAGCTGGGCACCTCACCTCACCTCGCCCTTGTGAAGTCCAGAGGACGTCTGCTCTCTCCAAGCCTCTCCTCAGGTCTGAGCCCGTTCCCCCCTCCCTGGCCGGAAGTGGTCCTGCCTCTTTCCGCCTCCAGAGGGGGTCTCCGTCCCCACCGGCCTGCCCCTCACCCTCCCTGCATAACAACTTTCCTGTCTCTGTGTAGCTCCTGTTTTCGGTTTACTCCCTCCAGGTTCAGCAATCACTCCTTCCATTTCTCCGTTTGATTTCTCAATGCCCCATTGTCTGTGTCCCTGTTTCTATTTGATGCTTAATGTTTCTCCTGAGGAGACTATCCTCCTAGTTCCTACGCCAACGCATCCTATAGTTCCTCTCTGTCCCAGCACTGATTACATGGCGTGTTACACTGTGAGAACGGAGGAAAATGTCATATTCATTTCTGACTCAAATATAACTATATTAAGATATCCAGAGGCTGTAAACATTAAAAAGATATTCCCAAATCATATGCATTCAGAGCAAAAATAGCAGATGTAAGAAAATCTATGAGATGGTTCATTGGGTAAGTGTGCTTGCCGCCAAGTCTGACCACTTGAATTCGATTCCCTGCCCCCACAAGGTGGACGGAGAGGGGAGAGAGAGAGAGAGAGAGAGAGAGAGAGAGAGAGAGAAATGTAATAAAAAAGAAAAATGTATGCAACGTTCCTATTTATCTCAAAATGATTGTGTTGATGCCTTTAAAAAACTTATTTGGGGGCTGGAGAGATGGCTCAGCAGTTAAGAATGTTCTTGCAGAAGACCGGGATTTGAATCCCAGCACCCACATGGCAGGTAACAACTGTCAGCAACTCCAGTTCCAGGGGATCCGACAGCCTCTTCTGTCCTTCGCGGGCATTGCAGGACACAGGTGCACTTACCTACATGCAGGCAATACATGGATAAACATAACAACAACAAAAACAATAATAAATTTAATTTTTTTTAAAAAAACCTTATTTGGAAAACAATGGGGCCAAGTGGGTATTTAATGAGGCACTGGTGGAATTTTAGAACTCTTTGAGATGGAGTTGTGGAAGGATCTTGGGTTTCAAGAATAGCCTTGCCTACATAGTAAGGCTATGTCTCAAAAAATTATATACACGTATGCACACAAATATGTGCACTTTCTCCTGTTCTCCTTTACCGATGCTCTTAGCAAGTACTTAGGCTGCCTCTTGTGATATAGTGTACTTCTCCGCAGTGCAGGAAGCAATTTGTGACATTGACTTTTTCATTCAATTATTTAAAAATGAGTAGAGATAACTATTCCAAGCAAAAAAAAAGACATTAATTCAAAAACTAAAATGAAACAAAGAATGACATTATATAATGATAATCGTCAATACACAATGATTAAAATATATATGAAGACAACATCAAAGCACCTGAATATATGAAACAAATATTAATAATGAATGGAGAGATAGACCAGTAAAATAATAGTGGAGAACTTCAATATACGTCTTCCAACAACTCACAGATTATCTACATGGAACGCAGTAAGGAAAGATTGGATTTGAATTTCTCTTTAGCCCAAATGGACCTAACAGACATCTACAGAACATTCCATCCAACAGCTGCAGAAAATGCATTCTTCTCAATTGTACATGCAATATTCTACAGAAAAATCATAAATTGAGCCACAAAACAAGTCTTAACAATTCTAAGATGTTTGTAGCTGTCATGTGGGTGCTGGGAATCAAACCCAGGTCCTTTAGAAGAGCAGTTAGCCATCTCTCCAGCCCCATAACTTTATTTTAAAAGTATTCTGCAATCACACATTTTTTATGGTGATGGATGACAAAAAAGACTGAAGATTGAAAGTAATCTAAGTAATCTTGTAAAAAGTAAAACACAAAACACTTAAATATTTTTGGAAAACTGATTTGACTACAAACTACAAAACTAAGGGCAAAGGGAACCACACTGTAGTCTAGGTAGAACATTCCTTTCTTATAATATGGGTTAACAATTCTGAAGCCCCTATACAAACATCCTAGGATGAAACAAATAAATGAGTCGTAGATGGTGATTTCTAAACTTTCTGATTTCTATCAGAAAGAGAAATTACAGATAATCAAAAAGGTAGAATTAAATGTGTTCATGGATTCGAGTTAGAACCTTCAATATGAAATATGTTTAGCTTAATATGTAGAGACATGGATGACTAGAAAAACAAAGATGTGTGTGTATACATGAGTTAGCATATGAATAAAATGTAGTTCTTAGTTTTCTGTCCTGAGAAGGCCAGGAAAATGATATTTTCGTCACAATCAGTAAACCTAACATCTAGATTTTGGTTTTTAAATAATAATATCTAATAAATGAACCAAGATTATTAAGAAATCATTGATTCTAGGACTCAACCAAGGTACCTTATAGCTTGAAAGTAAGGAATTGCTCAAAAAACAAAGGGAGTGATATGGTTAGGTCATATGGTAGTTCTATTTTTTAGATTTTTGAGATGCCTCCACACTGATTTCCGTAGTGGCTGCACTGGTTTACACTCCCACCAACAATGGGAATGTTTCCTCACATCCTCACCAGCATTTGTTTTCATTTGTTTTTCTTGGTGATAGTCATTCTGCTGAGGTGAGATGGAATTTCTAGGTAGTTATAATTTGCATTTATCTTATGGCTTTAGCCATCTTTATCAATATCTTTAGATACTGAACACTTGAGGCAGTTAAAAGCACTGACTGCTCTTGCAGGGGAACCAGATTCAATTCCCAGTACCCACATGGTGGCTAACAACTGTCCATAACTCCAGTTCCATGGAATCTGATGCCTTTCTCTGACCACCACAGGCATTGCACCACGTGGATGCACTTACATAATGCAGTCAATACACTCATACATGTAAAAATATTTTTTAGAAAAGATATTGAACACTTAAAAAATATCTGTTTGCCATTTGTATTTCTCCATGTGAGAACAGTCTATTCAATACATTGGCCCATTATTGATTGGCAGGTTTGTATGTCTGTAATTTTTGAAGTTCTCAATATACTCTAGATAATAATCCTTTGTCTTAGGTAAAACCAACAAAGATTTTCTCCCACTCTGTAGGCTGTCTGTTCACTCTGTTAATGATTTCTCTACCCAAAGAACTCTGCATCTTACAGAGATACTTGCACATCCATATTTATTGCTGCTGTCTTCCCAATTGCAAGGAAATGGAATCCGTTTAGTTTTCCATCAACAGAGGAATGAACAATGAAAATGTGATACCTATACACAATAGAATTTTACTCATCCATAAAGAAAAATGAAATTATGAAATTTGCAGGAAGATGGATGGAACTGGAAAGGATTCTACTACGTGTGGTAACCCAGACCCAAATAATTCTCTGTCTCTGTCTCTCTCTCTCTGTCTCTCTCTCTCATGCATATCATAGCTTCTAATTGTTAAATATGTACAGATAGGTAGGATTAAATGTAGGTGAAAATCAGGAAACTAGAAAGGCGCCCATGTGGCTGGGGAAAAAAAAAAGAGGCTTTAAGGTGAGGAGATGGGAAGGGTAGTAGAACACATGAGATTTGAAAGTACTGGGAGGAATATTGGTCCAGAAAGTTACATGTGGGAAAGAAGGGGGTCAGGGAGGTGGAGAGAGCACTAGGGAGGGGGAGAATCAATCAAAACTAAGAATGTATAAAAATACCATGAGGAAACCACTAAGTTATTTAAAATTTAAGTTAATTTTTAAATTAAATTTGTGTGTGTGTGTGTGTGTGTGTGTGTGTGTGTGTGTGTGTGTGTGTGTATCAAAGGAAAAGGAGTGGAAATCAAAGGACAAAGGAGTCAATTTTCTCTTTCCACCATGTGGGTCCCCATATAGAGCTCAGGTTGTCAGGCTTAGCCACAGGTGCCTTTACGATCTCATCAGCTCTGTAAGCTAGTTTCATTTTGAAGAAAAAATAAGAGAAACAAAATAACAACAAAAACCCAAAGGAAGTGACATCTGCAATATGAGTGACTAGAGATGTCTAACATTCATTCCTTACACACAAGAAGAATTAAAGTTATGGATAAACAACTACATGTTGACTGCACTATCAAAAACAGTCTGCTGGAAAGCAGGGAAGGGGCAGAAACCGTTTGGAGCACAGAAAGTCTAGAAAAGAATCAAAATACTCTGCCTTTGCTACACTGCCGTCACAACTGGAATCAGCTTAGAACCAAGAAGGGCTTAGGAGGTTAAAAAAAAAAAAGGCCCCCACAAGTCTCCATTATTGCTCTAGATACCTGTAGTCTTTGCCATGGGAGACTTCTGAAGTTCTCACAGGCCTTGAGCCTAATTTAGAGAGTTGTCCAGAGTATACAGAGCTGCATTATTTCAAAGGGCACACACTGTGGCCCTCTCTGACCCAAACTGCTCTTATGATACCATCTTAAAACTCAAATGAATTGCAAAACTGGGTTTTTGGAAAGTTAAAACTGACAAAACTCTAGTTAGACTAAGGTTCAAATAAAATCAGAGCTGGAAAACCACAGAAATAAAAAGGACCATAGTCCAGACTATTACAAACAGCTGTGTGCAACAAATTAGATGATATAAAATTTTTCTAAACATATATAACCTACAAAGATTTAATTATTTAAAAAAGAGAAAATCAGAACCGACTAATAATGAGGACAGAGATTGAGCCAGTAATAAAAAGTCAATCATCAAAGAAAAGTCCATAACCTCAGTTTCATTGCTGAGTTTAACGAAACATTTAAAAAAGTAATACCAATTACTAATTATTCTCAAACTATTTCAAAGAACTGAAGAGGGATAATTATTCCAAACTCATGCCTCAGTGTCAGCATTATTCTGATCATAAGTAGACAAAGACACAACAATAACAAAAAGGAAACTACTAGACAACCCTCTGGTCCACACAGATACAAAATCCCTTAGGAAAATACTAGTAAATCAATTTTAACAGGACGTTAAAAAGATTATTTACTATGATTCAGTAGAACTAACAAATATGATCTATACATCAATAGAATGAAGGACAGAAATGATTTTATCTTTTCAACAGACATGGAAAAGATATTTTACAAAAATTTACACCCCTTGAGTGTGTGTGTGTGTGTGTGTGTGTGTGTGTGTGTATAATATGTCTGTTTTGTATTTCTATAATACAGTACCTGAATAGATAACTTTAAAAAGAAAGTGTCGGGGGGGGGAGCAGTAGGCTCAAGATTCTGGTGGCTGGTGGCTGGAGGGCCCAAGTAGCATGGAACCAACAGTCTGACAAGGGTCTTTTAATTATATCACAACATACCAGAGAAGCAATGGCTGCCTGCAAAAAGATCCACTCGTGCAGATAGTCTTGCTTTATACCAATCTG